TTTCATCCATGCCGACATTCCGGTCGGTTAGCGTGAGCCCTGACTGAACTCTGCAGAAACTTCACATGATCTTCGCATCGCGATATAAAACAAAATGTCGGAAAACACACAATAAAAAAACATAGGAAATAGCAAGAGTGATTACAATAGTTCCTATTGCATTACATGCATAGGAACTAAAAACCTAAACCATAATTCACCACACTATAGACACTTTTTGACAAAAATGAAAAATTACGACTTTGTTACTCAATGAGAAGTGTTCTAATATAGACAATGGGTCGTGTCTCATATTATTTGTTATAGTTTTATTATTCATTATTTTCACTTGACTCGTATAAATAATTTTGTTCGAAGAACATTTATATGCAGTTGTACTTCGCAGCACTTCACTTGCAATTTGCAATTTCTAGTAATATTATTATTATTATATGCTGATTTCTGGAGATACTTTTTGGCTACGGTCACACTGGGATCTCAAGCCTGGCTTGACTCATCGCGGGTGAGATTTTCATAATGTGACCGCACCTGAAATCTCACCGGCAGTGAGTCAAGCCAGGCTTGAGACTCTAGTGTGACAGTAGCCTTTGTAAATAACATACATTATAAAACATTACTTTGGAGTAACTCAAAAATAGAGTAAAGCACAAATACATATTATCAGATGAATTATACTGACTAATATCCATTCACTGATTATACAGTTACATTATTACAGATACTGACTAAAAATTACAAGCAATTATTCAGCACGCAGTACATACCTTCGTCTAACTTCAGTCGTTTCGATATTGATGCTTCTCCAATACCTATTGAGGAAATTGAAAATGACAACATGTGCATTAGCAGCATAGCTGCAGTAGACCATAGCATAATTTTTCTACTCCATAATAATTAATACCTTAACATTGTGTAAAGAATATGTGAGGTGTTGTTTACAAAATGGGTCTTGTGGTACGCCAACTACTGTAATTTCATATATTGACTTAGTGATGTTTTGACAAAATTTGGATTTTATTATTTCTGACAAGTTTAATATATACTGTATATTTCATAATAGCAAAACCTCTGAGTTAATTTACCTAAGGTAAAGGTGTCTTTTTGTTTTTTAAATATATTTTGAAAAGGAATTTTCTAAATTGATAGGAAAACCAATACAAAATTTATTAGTTGTTGTTGTTATCTTAAGAGGTGATGGTTTTAGATATCTCAGCTTAAAAATGATTTTACTCAACCTACTGTAGAAACATAATTCAAAGACCAAAAAAAAAGTGTTATATTCGTCTATAAAATGTGCCACAAATTTTTCATTTTTTGTACCAGAAGATTCATTTTGTCATAACAGCTCACATATGTACACTTGCATCTGTATTAAACTATTGCATCTGTATTAAACTAAAAATCAAAATAGAGATGCTTGATATTAATAATACTAAAACAGTAAACCTTTCCATGTGTCTACAGGCAGGCAGAAGGCTAAACTGTACAGGCATCATGCATATAATTCACATTTTTTCTTCACTCTCTGAAGTTCAGTATCTTCTTCATCTAGCTTTGTTGCTTATTTGCCTACCTGAGCAATTTGATATTATTTATACTAATACAAGGATAGTAATAAAACAAAGAACTCGTCTAGAATTGTCCTAATTCTATGCATTACAATGGCCTGTTGCTGAGCTTAGATGTACTGTAGCAAGGCAGCTGGCGCATCATCACAAATTTAGTTTAAAAGAGAACTAGCAAAATGATTTTTTGTTCTAGAGAAGATTTTTGATATGCCATTAATAATAGAATCAACCTTAAAATCGTTTTTTGGCTTTTTTTTAATGAAGTTATAGGCGATTATATACGATTTTACCATGACGTCACTGGCGAAAAAGTAAATAAAGATTGTGTAAATAACGCCGCGTAGGGTATCCGCCGCGTACGATCTTTGCGTGTATGCTGTAACCATGGCTATAAACTGTGATTGTTACAGCATGCACGCAAATATTGTACGCGGCGAATACCCTACGCGGTATATACCCTATGCGGCGCTATTTACACGATCTTTTGTTACTTTTTCGCCAGTGACGTCATGGTAAAATCGTATATAATCGCCTATAACTTCATAAAAAATAGCCAAAGAACGATTTTAAGGTTGATTCTATTATTAATGGCATATCAAAAATCTTCTCTAGAACAAAAAATCATTTTGCTAGTTCTCTTTTAAAGCGGCATAACGAAAGCTCGCAGTAAGTTTACATCAAATTGTGTTTGGTTTTAATGAAACAGTTCTACAGTTGTAGACAAGTACCAGATAAAACTATTTGAATAATTTTTTGTTTGGTCTTTCTATTAATGCTTAAATATTTATATAGTGCCTAAATATTTATATAGCACCAATTCCAAATTATACGATCAAAGGTGCTGCTGAGCATTATTAGCCCTGGTCACTGGATAACATAAAATGGCAAACCAGCACACAAAGTGCAACCTTTTCTGCTCCCTGGGGAGTATACGTTGTCGTGCACTACTTACATAGCACACAAACTAGTACATTCAATGCCACAACATCCTACCAAATACTCATTTATACTCCTGGGTAGAGAGATAAAGTGACTTGCCCAAGAACACAAGCGACTTGTACAGCGCGAGTTTCAAACCCCTGAAGTTTGGGGAGTCCAAGCCACAACTGATGTGCCAACTGCTTCTACAGCATGGTTGTGCAAGGAATATATTCTTTACAAATAAATACTTGTGAATAACTTACATTTATAATAAATATCAGGAGAACTATAGATATAACCATTATAGATATTCATTCAATATAATAAGCAATTATTCAGCAACCAGTACACTACATACCTTTGTCTAATTTTTGTCTTTTTGATGTTGATGCTTTTTCATTACCTATTGAGGAAATAGAAATTGACAATTTGTGCATTAGCAGCATAACTAAAATATACATAGCATAATTTTTCCTACTTAGGAGAACAGCTTAGCTGTAAGTTCCAAAAATGGTTAGGCCAAGTAAAAAAAAATAATTGGTTAGCATCCTTTTGGTATCAAATTTCATGGTAGGGAGGGAGGTTTTTTTTTTTTTTTTTTCTCGTAGAACATGAAAAACCAGCGTCGGAAGGAAAATTAGCAAAACAAAGAAGAGGAAAACAACAGAGGCCAAAATTGGATACAAGAAATCATGTAATTCATCTATAGCAAGCAGATAAGCTTTGCCTATATGAATAACAGTCATATTGAAATCCCTATATATGAAGTTTTAAAACATGCAACATTGTATATGTTTACAGAACTGATGATATCGATAACAGTTTTATAAAGCATTCCATCCTAAGTGGCGAGTGTAATTGCTGTTGGATGTGAAATTAAAAATAAAAATAACAACAGCAAAATATAGAAGATTGAAGTTTGTCATAGTCGTATAATAATTCATTGTCCATTCATAACAGAAACGTAATTTTTGAACTGGCATTTTGTACAATTGATTACTATTTGTGATTGTTTATGTGATTGAGTATGTACATATAGTGATAATACTCAATAGTGAATACTGTTAATGAGTTTGACTAGTATCATGTGCTATGTTCATGCTGAGAAACACTTTGACATCTAGTTGGACCAGCTGTTTGGAAACATCACGTCACTGTACCAGCATGTGAATATTCCATGCTTTGTGTTTAAGTTTGTGTTTGCTGGACATTAATTATAACTGGACCATACTGGGTTTGTTGTTGGAACAACACAACAGTCATCATTGATGCCATGCAGGGGTTTCGACAGAAAAACAAAATAGACGGCCTATTTTGTTTTTCCAAAATTGAAGCCAGTGGGCGTGGCACTGAGCCGATGGCGGGCCACGCCCATCGTTAGTAATCCCCATCGATTATTGGTACAAAAACGTACATTCAATCAATAAATGTTGTTTTTATCAAACGTAAATATGATTTACCTTTAGTTTAATGTAACATTCGATAGATTTGAAGAATATATAAAGAATTTGCTAAAGGTAGACCAGGCCCAATTAGGCTAAGCCGAGCTGATTAGGACAAGCCGTCCAAGCCGTCACGGTAAAAGTTGCCTTCCTAAATAATTGTTGGCAGTCCAAAAGACGGCCGGACGGCTCGCTCGCTAATATACCGGTACGCATGCACTATCTCGCCACTATATTTCCAGTAATAATTTATCTATGCTGTCCTACCTATGAAAATTTATCTTTAAAATTTTATTTCGTGAAATATTGCACACAGGTAAGAAGTGAATATGCCACAGCTTTAAACTGATGGGCGCAGCCATGTTTGTTGTCTTGTCTCCGGTCACCACACAGAGCGGTTCCTCCTTGTTTCTCTTTCGCGCTGCTGTGGATGTCTACTTCCAAAGTGATGGAAATACCAACGCGCTGATTGGCCGACTTTTCTGCACAAAGCATGAGACGTAAGCATCGGATCGGAGTTTAGTTTGCTAATATAAACCTAGTCCCGAGTAAATCTTAATGCTTTGCATCGGCTGTACCGTGTATACAAATACACTCTTTTTATACTACTACTATAAAACTAGGCCTTTTCTAGATAGAAGTAAGGACTAGGCCTAGAAGGGACGATGATGGAATGCAACTGCAGGGATAAGCCCAGTCGGCTGGCGTTCGGACAGATGGTAAACAAGCCTAGGCCTATATAAATTGCCTTCGGGAGATGGAGTTTTTGAGTGTTTTGTAAAAAAAAAAAATTTTTTTTTTAAATTCAGGTCGGGGGCTTTTCTGACGGTCGGGCGGAGATGCTAACCAATTGTTTTATTTTACATGGCCTAATCTGCTATTAAATAAACACACCTTCATCTGCCCTTAACCTTTGAGGTTGTTCTGATTGTCCTGACTTATCTGTAAAGAGAATGAATCATTGGGCATTATGAAACAAGCCAGCCTATAATAACAGTGATGTCTAAAACAAAACGTTAAATTGAATTACTTTTTGATGTACAGTATTGTTATTATAAATATAAATACACTGATTTCTGGAAATACTTTTTGTAAATAACATACATTATTAAACATTATTTGGAGCTACCCAAAATTAATTGAGTAAAACAGATTAATTAATACTGACTAATATCCATTCCTTGATTATACAGTTACGTCATTACAGATATTGACTAAAAATAACAAGCAATTATTCAGTACTCAGTACATACTTTTGTCTAATTTTGATATTGTTGGTTTTTCATTACCTATTGAGGAAATATAAATTGACAATTTATGCATTAGCAGCATAACCAATGTACACAATAGCATAAATTTTCCTACTCAGGAGAATGGCTTAGCTATAGGTTTAAAAAATTACTAATGTTTTTTTGTACACATAATAAATTTATAGATGTAGGAACCAGAATTCCAGTCAGTTTACATTTTGATATTGGCCATACTTTAGGACTAGCCAATAAACTCTAAGTAAAGTACGTCTTTGAAATAGCCCAAAACGAAAGCGATCGTGTACTGTTACTTACTACGAAAGTTCCAAACCAGAGTAAAGACTCAACAGGATTCAGATGCATCGATGAAAGTAATTTCAAAATGCAGTTGAGTACCCAAATAAAACGGTATTTAATATTAATATTTTGCACCTTAAATAAAATACTGGTTTAACTACTTGAACTTATATAATTTACTATGATAATAAACTTTTACTTTATTTTACAAGTTAACATACTGTATATATTTTCTATGTTTGTATATTTCTTTATAGATATTTGCTAAAAATTATCTATTGTTTCAGAGACTAAATCAAATAGAAATATATTTAAAATAATTATTGTGATGTAAAGGAGCATTTAAATCCATATTAAAATGATTCAAGTGATGCATTTTTGCTATTATTTACTACAATAATAAACTATTATTTTAATTGAAATGTTAACTTAATTTTGATGTTTGTGTATTTCTTTCCATAATAGTATTTGTTAAAAACTAACTATTGCTTCAGAGTAAAGCTAGTTATAAAAATATTTAAAATAATTCAGTAATGCATTTTCGTTATTCATGGTTGAAATGTGATCATTTTATACTGTAGTTTAGATCTCTAAATGTCTATTCACTGTCTATTATAAGAAATGTGAGAAAATATCAAGAACTTAGGTTTCTACCACTTATCAGCATTTCTCAGGCTCCAACAGTGGTATCCTAATTTAATACCATAGATTGCAACATTACAGTATTATTAATTTGGTATTGCAAATACAGTAATAATACAATAACCGTCATACTCACCAACTCTTTTCAAATTAATGAGAAACGATGACAAGTTATCTTTGGAAATGATACCATTACTTTCAAGAAATGTTATTAATTTCCATGGATTAGAACAGAAGTCATCTGGAACTTCATACTTCCAACTAATCCTTTGAATATCTATGGTAGAGAAGTCTTTTCCCAGAGCAACAACCTGTTGACGATGTGCTGAAAATCGAGTTATCTTCACTTCATCTGGATATGTGTCATACGTCTTAATTATCTCCTTCAAATACTTTAATCCAGTTACTTCAATCGTTTCAAATAAAATGGAAATGTCTGTTGCTTTTAAAATGTCAGCGACACTTAGAATTTGAAATAAATCAAATGCGGATTTAGCATCCTCCAATTCTGTTTTTATCTCTGCATGCTCTTTGTACAGAACCCTCAACATGTCTACATACTTTTCACCTTTCACGCCGATTGCATCAGATACTGTCACAAGCAGTTGATTAAAATCTATTTTAAAAAATAGTTTCTAAAAGATTAACTAAAATAAAACCCTTAAACTCTAAAATTCTGTTAATAAATATTTAATAGAAAACTTCAGCTGAGTAGCGAGACTTGTTGATTGGGTGGGGTGGGGGGTGGAAATAGATCAAAACGTCCCAGGAATACCAGAGAGCAGTCCTTGGAAGTAAAAACTCTCCCCGAACAACATTCTGGTTATTTCCTAGTCTAGTTTTTAGGGCCAGAACACGGATCACTCTTGAAAGTGAATATGTACTGTATCTATTCACTGTTGTATTTTGCATATAAGGCCTACATAAATTTAAAGGAATAAATATTTGTTGCTCATTTGTTGTTATTTTGTCCATACTCAATTATCACTTTGATTTTTACAGTGATTGGAATTCTTAAATGGCATAATTTTCAATAATGCAGTTCACGTCGACTATTCTCATTGAATTCAATCTCTAAATTGAAAACACATAGTAAACTGCTCAAGAACTATCTCAATACAAAAGTAGAGCTTTTAATTATCATGTCCTACATGCATGGATATTTAAATGTGATATTCTATATTTATTACTAACCTTCATTTACTTTATTATCCTTCAAACGTTGAAGAAATGATGACATGCTATTTTCTGTTAAAACAGATGTATCTTCAAGATGTTGAATCAGTTTCCATGGACTAGAAAAATTGCCTTCGCATAACTGACTAACCTTCTGGAGATCTTTAACTGAAAAGTCTTTTCCCAGAGCAACAACCTGTTGACGATGTGGTGAAAATCGAGTGATCTTCACTTCATCAGGATATGTCTCATATCTCTTGATTATTTCTTTCAAATATTTCAATCCAGTTAGTTCAATTGTTTCAAACAAAACTGAAATGTCTGTTGGCTTCAAAATGCCAGGTGCTATTAGCAATTGAAATAAATCAAATGCACACTTAGCTTTCTTCACATAAATGTATACATCAGGCTTTAAAATAACTAAAAATCTTCAATTATGATTAATCCAGGATTTATTTATCATGCAAATGGTTGTATTATTAAAGCAATAATTTGAAAACATGTAGAATACATATTATGTTGAATGTACCGTATGTATGCACAGCTTGTAAAGATGCCAGGGCTGAATTTTGCATTTATTAATGAGTGATGATAATGAAGCACCACTTTGTGATTACTTTTGTGCATGATGACTATGTGTGTGAAATAGCATTGCAGGCCTACAGGTATATATTACCAACTATCATTATCAATATTTTACCTGTTTCCATCATCCTTGCATAATATTACTTCACAAACTTTCACACTAAAATAGATTTAATAACACAATATTATTTCTTTACAGATCACATCAATGTAACTCCGCAATATGCATGTAGAGTAATCAAGATAAGTAGAAACTTTATGTGAAAATGAAAATTACAACATCACCACTGACTTAAAATATAGCTAAATTATTCTAGGCCATGTGAAAATTGTGTTACTTTATATAATTAACACACTTGAAACACTCAATAAATAGGCAGAAATTAGCCTGGTTCTGACCATTTTGCAGTCACCAATAAGGCATCTCCCCAAGATATATGGCGAGTACACACAGCATTGTATGACAATTGTACAGGATGTTAGCTCAGTGACAGATGCCATCCGCTGATATTCAGTGGCAGTCTAATAACTGGTGCAGTGTGTACCCGGGCTTTGGATTATGAAAGAATGCCTGGTTATCTATACTCAGAACCCATAGAAATTAATGTCTATGGCCCGTTCGAGCGAAAAAATATCCGTGCGATTTACCAGTTAATTCACCGGTACACAGTTTCTAAAACCACTCGGACAATAGTCTGATTACTTTACCATCTGGATTATCCACGACAATTTTGACCACCAAATTGCTGGGTAGAATACCGTGTATGGAATGACCATGGAGCCAGAGGCGATGATAAATCAACCTTAATTGTTTGTCCAAAAGTTTTATCCACAGCCCAGCGCGAATTTCAACAGGTTACGCCCCAGGTGTGGTTGCAGATCTCCTTCGCCTCCCCACAAATGGGTCATTCCATGCCAATTCAACGTGGCCGCGGAAGTCACAATCTCAGATTTTGTTTAAATTTTCAGGGTTTGTTGTAACTTCAGTAACTAAGAAAAATCCAAAATTTCAGCTCAATCGGACCAATACTTTCCGAGATACCGGTGTCCGAAAAAGTGGGCGTGGCACCCATTAGAGCCGCCGACGACGTTGTTATTTGGATTCTTTGATTTTTGAAGTGTCATAACTTTTTTTCTAGGTCACCTACAAAGCTAAAAATCACAGTACTTGCTCAACTTTTGGAGTAGATTCAGATTCTACATTCAAATAATTATTTAGAAAAACACTTTTCGAATTATGCTCTATCAAACATGGCTTCAGAATGAACGCGACAGAGCTTTCAGCTATTTTTGCTCACCCGTATCTCAAAAACTAGAAGGGCTAACCCAAAACTGTTTTTGATTTCTTATACCCTTACTAAATTCTGTGTACATAAAGTAAATATGGACATAACCCAAGCATGAATACTACCAAATATATGCCTCCCATTATGGTCCAGCCAGAAATTTGACAAATATGGGTAGTCGCGTTTGATGGTAGAACCCAATGTGGATTTTGAAATATCAACTTGAAAATTCAGCATAATCAAGTTTAATATATGTTACAATCATAATATTAAAAACATTATTGTATATTTACTGTCTTCTTGAAATATTTTACAGGTCAAAATTACACATAATCGCTGCCGACGTTGTCGTTATTTGGATTCTTTGATTTTTGAAATGTCATAACTTTTTTTCTAAGTCACCTACAATGCTAAAAATCCCAGTACTTGCTCAACTTTTTGAGTAGATTTAGATTCTGCATTCCAAAAATTACTTTAAAATATATTTTTTGAATTATGCTCTATCAAACATGGCTTCAAAATGAACGCGACAGAGCTTTCAGCAATTTTTGTTTGCCCGTATCTCAAAAACTAGAAGGGCTAACCCAAAACTGTTTTTGATTTCTTATACCCTACTAACTTCTGTGTAAGTAAAGTAAATATGGACATAACCCAAGCATGAATACTACCAAATATATGCCTCCCATTATGGTCCAGCCAGAAATTCGACAAATCGTAGTAGTTGGGTAGTCGCATTTGGTGGTAGAACCCAATGTGGATTTTGAAATATCAACTTGAAAATTCAGCATAATCAAGTTTAATATAATTATGTTACAATCATAATATTAAAAACATTATTGTATATTTACTGTCTTCTTGAAATATTTTACAGGTCAAAATTACACATAATCGCTGCTGACGTTGTCGTTATTTTAATTTCTTTGATTTTTGAAATGTCAACTTTCTTTCTAAGTCATCTAAATATCTAAAAATCAGAGTACTTGCTTAACTTTTTGAGTAGATTCAGATTCTGCATTCAAATAATCACACATTCTTGACTGTCAAATGTCTATTCTTGAAAATTAATATATATCATATATTTATCATATGCTGATGCTACTTTTTGTGCCGCATTTTCATAAAAGTGATGCCAAAATGTTTCTGTAATATTTCCTTTGATTTTACTTTACAGTATACAATATTTGACTTTCATGAACTCTTAAGGGGTTTAAAGTTTAAAGATGTTAATAAAGAATTTAGAGTAGCTTTGTCAGTATGTGGATCAGTGTAGCTTTCTCCATGTCTTTCACTGTGGTTACTGTTGTCATCCTTCTCTGTTAGCATCTTCACACAGTGCACACAATGCTAAAACAACTTTTATATGAAATTATTTTAACTAAAATAACTAAATATAGTTAAACATTTGAATACATCAATCAAACTATGGAGTTTGAATTTATTAACATAAATTTTCTGTTTATACATTTTTTTATAAAAAAAAAAAAAGCTAATTACCGGTAATGCAAATTAAGATAATCTGGTTAATTTAAGTTTATTGTAATTTAAAAAAATTTTGGTATCACGTTTTTATGAAAATATGGCACAAACTGTTAGCAGCATCAACATATGATAAAAATATAATGTATGTTAATTTTCAAGAATAGACATTTGACAGTCAAAAATGTGTGATTATGTGTAATTCTGACCTGTAAAATAGTTCAAGAAGATGGTAAATATAAAATAATATTTTTAATATTCTGATTGTAACATTTATTAAACTTGGATCATGCTAAATTTTCAAGTTGATATTGCAAAATCAATATTGGGTTCTACCACCAAACACGACTACCTGTATTTATCAAATTTCTGGCTGGACTATAATGGGAGGCATCTTTTGGATAGTATTCATGCTTCGTTTATATTCATATTTAATTTATGTACCTATACAGAAGTTAGTAGGGTATTAGAAATCAAAACAGTTTTGGATTAGGCCTTCTAGTCTTTGAGATTGACGAAAAAATTGCTGAAAGCTCTGTCGCGTTCATTTTGAAGCCATGTTTGATAGAGCATGATTCAAAAGTATTCTGAATCTACTCAAAAAGTTGAGCAGGTACTGTGATTTTTAGCTTTGTAGGTGACTTAGAAAAAAAGTTATAACATTTCAAAAATCAAAGAATCAAAATAATGATGTTGGCAGCGATTGTGTGTAATTTTGACCTGTAAAATATTTTAAGAAGACAGTAAATATACAATAATGTTTTTAATATTATGATTGTAACACATATTAAACTTGATTATGCTGAATTTTCAAGTTGATATTTTAAAACCACATTAGGTTCTACTACCAAATGCGACTACCCTTATTTGTCAAATTTCTGGCTGGACCATAATGGGATGCATCTATTTGGTAGTATTCATGCTTGGTTTATGTCCATATTTACCTTACTAACACAGAAGTTAGTAGGGTATTAGAAATCAAAAACAGTTTTGGATAATAGCCCTTCTAGTTTTTGAAATATGGGTGAGCAAAAAGAGCTGAAAGCCTGGTCACGTTCATTCTGAAGCCATGTTTGGTAGAGCATAATTCAAAGAGTATTTTTCTAAGTAATTATCTGAATGCAGAATCTGAATCTACTCAAAAAGTTGAGCAAGTACTGTGATTTTTAGCATTGTAGGTGACTTAGAAAAAAAGTTATGACATTTCAAAAATCAAAGAATCAAAATAACGCCAACGTCGCCAGCGTTTATGTGTAATTTTGACCTGTAAAATATTTTAAGAAGATGGTAAATATACAACAATGTTTTTAATATTATGAATGTAACATATATTGAACTTAATTATGTTGAATTTTCAAGTTGATATTTCAAAATCCACATTGGGTTCTACCACCAAACGCGACCACCCTTATTTGTCGAATTTCTGGCTGGACCATAATGGGAGGCATATATTTGGTAGTATTCATGCTTGGGTTATGTCCATATTTACTTTATTTACACAGAATTTAGTAGGGTATAAGAAATCAAAAACAGTTTTGGGTTAGCCCTTCTAGTTTTTGAGATACGGGTGAGCAAAAATAGCTGAAAGCTCTGTCGCGTTCATTCTGAAGCCATGTTTGATAGAGCATAATTCGAAAAGTGTTTTTCTAAATAATTATTTGAATGCAGAATCTGAATCTACTCCAAAAGTTGAGCAAGTACTGTGATTTTTAGCTTTGTAGGTGACCTAGAAAAAAAGTTATGACACTTCAAAAATCAAAGAATCCAAATAACAACGTCGTCGGTGGCTCTAATGGGTGCCACGCCCACTTTTTCGGACACCGGTATCTCGGAAAGTATTGGTCCGATTGAGCTGAAATTTTGGATTTTTCTTAGTTACTGAAGTTACAACAAACCCTGAAAATTTAAACAAAATCTGAGATGGTGACTTCCGCGGCCACGTTGAATTGGCATGGAATGACCCAAATGCACGACAAAATCTAAATTTAGTAGCATAACACGCGATCGATTTGTAGATTTGCCATTATTCGGAGAAATAAACTTGAATAAACTAGCCTATGTAGAGATTGTAAA